GATAAAAATGAAGGAAAACGAAAAGAAAAAGGTGGGCCGAGAAGGCAATAGAAAAAGTGAATCACTTTGCATGTGTTGAAGCAATAAATTCGGCAAATTGACAGACCTTTTTGGCAGCAGCGCTGCTAAAGCACTACAGAGCAGCTTAGAAACAAGTGGCAAGATGATGAAGAGAATGATGAGGGCCACGAGTTCAGATATTTACAGCCAGCCTCCTGCGTTCATGATGGGACAGAGTTTGAGCGGTGGAAGAACCAGCTCAACCGGCACACGGTGCAGGCAAGAGCAAAGGTGGAGTGAGAATTATCCCTTGAACTCAGTGGCATTTTCTCCTGGATGCCAAGGGAAGGCCAGGCTTCCCCTGTTTTTTTGGATTGTAGTTATAATTTTAATAAATAAATAAAAAAACATTTTTTGAGTTTCGGCATTATTCTGCCTGGCCATCTCTCCCCCATTCTCATTGAGGTATTTTACAAAGAGTGAAACAGCGCCCCTTCTAGATGTTATGGGTGAAACAGAAGATTGGCACTTCTCTGTTGCAGAGATGAGGCTAGCCGAAAATTTGGTTTTCCTTGAGTGAAAGAAAATCAAGCGATTTGACCAATCAGATGAGGATCACGTCATGCCTGACCAATCCAATCAAATCGCAATCAACCTTCAGTTCGTACTGTTAAATTCATCACCGCCCTTAAAAGTAGCAAGCAACTGAAGGCAAGTGCAATTATGGAGGTGGAGATTTGGAGTATTCATCAAAATAATTTTACTAAACCTTCTGCTTACAGGCAGCGCAACTAAAAAATGAAATCTGATGGACAGGCCATGCCCAAACTGGAGGGCTGTGCTACAGAGAGGAAAAAGGAGCGAGTCGACGGTAAAATTTAAATAATAAAACAGCGGATTTCCCTGTTGACATCTAGCTTTGGTTGACATAAGGACCACAATGAAAGCATGAATCAAAAAGGAGCGAGTGTTGGGGATGGGCGGGGGGGGAGGTGACGTTGTGTCACGTGACTTGAATTTTGAATTGAGCCGTCCCTAAGTTTATAGATTATATACTCTTACGTATTAGTGATGGGAATTCCGGCTCTTTTTAGTGAGCCGGATAATTTTGGCTCGGCTCACTAAGAAAGAGCCGGCTCTTTTTGGCTCCTAAACGGCTCCTTAACCGCTCTAACGGCTCCTTAATGGCACCTTAACGGCTCTTATTTTGCCACATTTTACCACGGAGCCTCCAGTTCGCCGCTGCGAGGCTTCGGCACCCACAGTTCACGCGGCTGCTCCACTAACCACCCCCCGTCAAGGCTTGCCGGCAGTACACTTTCCATCACAGGAACATGCTTTGCTGGCGGCGAAAATAATCCACCAGACTCCTTTGCCCCTCCAACAGAGGGATGTCCTTATCCTTTTTCGTCATTTCAAGCGATAAAAACTCGATCTTTTCTCAAATTATTATTTTTTTTGGACGCCCTCGGCTCGAGTTCAGGGCGTTCTGAGCTGAATAAGGGCCTCAAATGACGGCAAAACGCCCCCCTGGCGGAAACGCTGAAAAGGAGCCAGCAAGAGTTCTCACTTCCTGATGGCAGCCAAGCGGGGGCACAACATGTGTTAGAGAGGCACTTGTTTACCTCAAATCACCTAGGCTCAGAGTCTGTTGCATTCACTCTAACTCACTGAAGTGGTGGTCAGCAGGGTGAAAAACAATCCAATTCCTCCAGGATTGTTAACACTGGTATCCATTTTGAGAGGCAGTCAAACAATTCAAAGCTCTGGCCTGAGCGTGCACATTAAGCTGCACCAAACAATTTGAGTTTAATGATAAACAGAGAAACGCTTTTAAATTCACTGTGCCCTTCTGGAGGTTTTCTTCTTGTTTGGTAGCTGACGAATTTCAAAAATACAGTTGTGTTTTAACCATTACATTCTGGTTTCAAGGAATACCTCGTTTTATAAGGAGTAGTTCATTTTTGTGAGTGCAAAATGATGAAGTTGGTCATTCAAATACTACAATAGGAGTTCCTTAACTGCTTTAGAAAGGCTGTTCACAGTCGTCTATGTTACATTAAAAAAATCAACCGAATGGATGCATGTCGGGGGAAAACGATTGAAACCATTTCACTTTGAAAACTCCCTCCTGCAGCATAATAACCAGACAATCACATGATAACATTAACAGCTAAACTTACTGTATGTGTTGCTTTTACACTGGCTCTCCCTCTGAGTAGAAGGATTGTGATTATACAGATACACCATATGTTCTAACATATAGAACATAGGGTATTAACAGCTACAAGTCTTTAGTTCAGTGTTTGGTTTCTGCATAAACTTACTGGATTGAAGCAGCATTCTCTTAAATGTGAGACGTGAAGGTAACGTTTACAAATGATTGATGGATAGTTGAAAGAATATTGGAGGAAAACAAAGTTATGGAGACTAAATTACATAATTGTGTTTTGCAGGAGGGCAAAGGTTTACCCAAAACCTCCATAGTCGTTTTTTGTGACAGTTGCCTGTTACAAAATGACCTTGTTAAGCATAATTAGTTTGGGCTTAATGAGCGTACTGTTGTGTGGGACAAGAAATTGCTCTCATTGTCTAGAAATGTTCTCTAGACAACCTTACAGTGTCTGGATTAAGAAGAAAAATAATTGCCAGTGAGAATGATATGATAACTTTTGCAATATTCATTCCAACTTATTAAAACACAAAAAACATCAAAGAGCAGCAGCAAACACATCACATTTCGGTTTAATTCAATAACGTACCAGAGTCCTGATCAGTTGCTATTCTTCCCCTTAAATCTCCATAATGACAAAACCAATCAGAAATTCTGGAGAAAATTCCTTCTCTTGCCTAGCACATCCAATCAATTGCATAAAGTCATTGCAACGGGCAGGGAGAACAGCACAGCACCAAAAGCAGCAACAAATTGGCTCAAAAACATATTAACTGTCATGATGTTGTAGTATAAGTCTTGTGATTTGTGCCTGATTCTTCTCTACTGATGCCAGAGTAGTGAAGGGGAATAGTAGGAGAATGAATGTCTGTAAGCTAACAGGTTCATTAAATCCATGCAGCATTTGGGACTTTAGCATATTGGCAACAAGGATAATAATGGTAAAAGAGAAACACCCAGCAGAGAATCCATCTCATCCCTTCCTTGGGCATAAAATGCCTCACCAGCTCTGGCTGCTCATTACCGACATATACCCATTCAAATGAGCCTATGGCAAATGAGCATACACACAATTCTGATCTCAGGGTTTTTAGATGGGGGCTGATGATTTTGCACAAGATGCAAGCTCCTCTCATCAAGCACCGAATCACAAAATCGGTTCTGTAGTGTGTTTCTTGTCAAACTAATTCCCGTTCATCATGCATATGACTGAGATCACAGCAGTCTCGTATACACCAATTCCCAAACCCGGTTTATAGAGTATGTAATTTCGGCTGAAGGTAAAATGGCTGATAAGAAGTAGAGGCGGCTAAGCTCCTAAATTGGATGGTTACAGGAGTGAGGGAATCTAAATAAAAGGTATGGGCTGCAGCCTGTAACCTGTGTGAGTTTTCCTTATCAGTTTATGAAACAACGCAATTAGTTGAAGATGGCCTCAAGGTTTACCGAATAACCCCATTAAAGAGAACAGTGTTAAATAGGAAAGCGCCTAAAGGCAAATGTAATGGGTTTTTCCATTGACACGCTTTCTATTAGACGGAAGAGAATGCTTCCCTTGCTCTAAATTCAAGCCTTGGACACCTTGAGAAGGATGGAAGGTATGTCTTCCATCATTTATGAATTATAATACTCACAACATAAATGCTAAAACCCAATCCAACTACTGTGCGTTATTCCTTTAACTCTAAACATCTTGCAGGAAGTGTGTCTTGAGAGCCTGGAAGCAATCTGACTAGTCTGCTTTTTAGGGTGATTGAAGTAAATATTTAGCAAGAGTTATTACAAACACTGGCCCTATACATTTGGAAGCAAATCATATCAACACTGTGAAAATCAGGGCTTAATGGAATCTATTTTTACACACAGCTTAGCATAGCATGGCTGAACAGAGCTCTGCGTGCTTTTTGCTTCCAACATCCGGGGGTTTGGTTTGGTTAAGTCCATCACAGCACAGATGTCTTTCAAGTGACTGTTTTAACAGGTGCACTAACCGTTGACACAGTTCAAACAACGCAAAAGATGTATTATATGAATTCTGAAAGATGTCCAGTCTTATTAGGTTTTATTTATCCTCCACTTTTTAGTTTACAAAAGCAAATGCATCTCACCCTGTAGAAGAATAGCTTTCTCATCTTCAAAGATGCCCCTGCTTTTAGGCACGAATTCCCAATTAAAAAAATAAAATAAATACATAGGTGGGGAAGGTTATCCCATTACTGCAATGCTACAGCATATTATACACACCTACTGTGTGGTTGAACTCATTACTGCTTTTTACTCTGATCTCAAGCAAGCAAATACAATTTCCTTGAAAAATAAGGCCACATTAATGGTAGAAAACGTGTTTAATGTGTGAAAAACGGTTTATCTGCTCCAGTTGGAGCTGCAATTAGTTGATGCAATGCAAACATTACATTCCCTACCTCTGCCTAATTGATTTAAGCTGTCCACTAACTTATTTGTTTTTTTTGTAGTTGTTTAAGGTTGTGGAGAACAAGAAGAAGAAGAAAATCCCTTGTGGATGGAAGTCAGAACATCTCAAATTGCAAATAAGGCAAATCACAAATCTTTGTAGAATACAAGTTTTAACAATTAGGTTTTACATTATAGAAACTTTCTTAGAGCTAAGAAGAGTCATTTTTCCATTAACAGGGTCCAGTGAGTAAGATTGAAGCAGGTGTAGCCAGGGAGAGAAACACAAAGGGTGACGGTGAAAGTGTTGCAATGGAGGGCTGACAAACAGATAGGAAAAGTGAGCTACCTATTTCTATTTCATATAATCTTAGAATTTTCTGGCAATGCAAAACAACGCCTGAAACAAAACAATTCACCTGGGTGAGGTTGCTGCGGGCACAGCATGCAGGGCTTTCCCTCGTAGGAGAGCCTGAAGTGAAAACAATAGAAACTGCTGAATTATGGACAGCGATCTCACTGGCCCATGAGATTCAAAGTAGCTGTAGCAGCTGAAGCGGAAGGCAATCAACCAAAAATGTGATCAGCAGGTTAGCTGAGAAAATTCTAACTTTGCAGAATAGTTTTAAAAAACGAAAAGAAGCTTGAGCTTGGTCTGTGAGAACAGGCCCACAGAGGTATTAAAAAAGAAAACTAAGGCAATAATTAGTGGTGCACGATAATTATCGGCCCGATCATTATCGGTCCGATATTAGGACTTATGACGTCATCCCGATAAACCCGATAAAAGTATTAATAGTCCCGATAATATACAATATATTTTTGGGGTAAAAAGAAAATAAAAAAATACTGCAATGTGGGTGGATTGGGATGAGGGGCGCTTGTTTTTCCCTCGGCTCCTCCCGTTTTGCCAGTACTGTGGTATTAGTGGTTTAGGAAGAGGGGAGTTTTTCACAAATCCAGCGCTCCCTAACTCATGCCTGGCTGTGACGTAAATGGTGTGCGGCCGTGAAGCCATGACAGTAAACAAACATGTCGTCGGTAGTATGGNCACCCTCTGGAACGCTCTCCCTGCGGAGATCCATAACATCCCCACGCTTGACGCCTTCAAAAGGGCCCTCAAGACCCATCTGTTTACTAAGGCCTTCGGCCCCTAATCTATTTGTTGTGTTGTCTGTCTGACTGGTTGTCTGACTGCCTTTTGTTTTTGTTTGTTTGTTTTTACTCCTGTTTTTCTTTGTAAAGCGACCTTGGGTCCCATGTAAGGCGCTCTATAAATCCAAGCTATTATTATTATTAAAAAGTGCGCATTAAGTTTAGCGGTGGTGAGACGCAAATGTTATTTAGTTTGTTTACAGCCTAATGTTAAGTATTAAGCATTTATGCCTAAACTACAAAAAAGTGGTGTTAATATGTAGAGACTATCTCGCTGTCGAAAACGTCACATAAATCTTGTGTCTTGTTTTCTGTGTATCTTTTTCCGCAATTATTCAAATTCCAATGGGAAAATCCCATTGCTTTTAGTTGTGCTAGCCCTTGGGGCTCTATCTTCGAGGTCGGCATACAAAAAGACATCATCACTGCACCACTCTATTATCAGCTTCTCTTGCTATACATGTGGGAAATTGCTTACTGCTGACTATTAAGTTAAAAAACCATACAAATGTGCTGCTTTGCCCTATCTAACCTAATTCGATCTTTTTTTGCATCTTATCTCGTATTTGGGCCAAGATAGAAAAAAGAGGAGGAGTAAAATTGTGATTAATAATACAAGACTTAAATTGCATATTTACAAAAAAAAACATTGATATTATCTGAGATAAAGAAAAAATAAATGTACTAAAGAAAATGTGTTTTCAAGGTTTTTTCTTTTAATTTATAATTACATTTTCAATCTCATTATTTTTCTTGCATATTTATGACTTGAGTGACTTCATTTGGCTTTGTACAAAACTGCGACAGTCTAAACCAAAGACAGACATCCATTTAAGCAGCTTCATGGTGTCTGCATGTGTTTTGCACGCAGCACTATTTTACCTTCTGCTGGATGAGGTCTGTTACAATATCCCTGGCATGGACGTCGGTGGTGATGAGGGCAGTGATGATGTTACGGTTTAAAGCAGGCAGCTCTCCTCGTACCAACGCTGCCAGGGCAATCAGCCTCTGGAATACACACAAACACAATCACACAAACACAATCAGGTTTTAAGAGTAAAAGTTCCAAAGGAGAAAAAAAACACCAGTTGTAGAAAAAGTACTCAGATTTAAGTAGCAATACTAAATATTGAAACGGCTTATTAAGTATAGAATATTTGTCATATTTAGTTATATTTACCTGTACTCCGTATCTCACATATTTATATTTTATGTAAACATTGTCTATTTTTTTTTAATTCAGTGAAAAGTGAGAAGTAGTTTAATAAGGTGTATTACATCAATGTTAATGAGTTCAAATTCCTGCAGGGCAGCAAAGTGGTCGTGGTCTCCCTCCAGGCAGGCGTCCATGTCCCTGCACCACATCAACTGGGAGATGGTCAGCACCACCTGGTGGACACATACACACCCACACCCACACACACACACACCCACACACACACACACACACACACACACACACACACATACCACACACCACACACACCACACACAACCATACCACACACACACCCACACACACATTAAATCACTGTACACAAATATGAAGCCACATGATATGATAGAAATAAATTGCTAAATCAATCAAAGCTTTATTAAGTGGTTACATTTTGTCTCAGTCTAAACAATCAAGAGAGTTGCAGTGATAAGAGTTGGTTTGGAAAATAATATATCTGCAAAGAGAAATTGACTATGAAATATGTCTAACAATGTCTTGTATTTCATATTGGCAATGCAAGGCCGATAAGTTCGTATTATAATAAAGTATTGTATTTACCGTAACTTGGCCAAAATTGAGAACTTTAGATTCAAACCCTGCTATTATAAAATGTCTGACTCCATTCTGTAATGGCTATGTAATAATGCATTAGGGTCTTATTGGGTTTAAATAGGAATATGTTATCTTGAAGTGTCTAAGGGGTCTATACTTAGCAGTACAGTTTTTTATCAACTGATTAAAGGAGCTAAGATTGAAAAAAAAAATCAAACCAGTTCCAAAATGTATGCCTTTTGCATTAAAGCTGACAAATTGATAACAAATGATTACATCGACAATGTTTTTGGGATGCATTATGTTTGCGTGTGTGTACCTGCGATGCATGTCCAGCCATCACCCACTCCTCTCTGGATTTGATCTGATAGTCAGCGATGGCGGCCTTGCTGAGGCGGCGCAGTGAGTTGAACATGGCCTCCTCCACCTTGCAGAGCCAGTCCTCCACATTACCCTGCGCCTTCAGACCTTTAGTCAAAGCCACCTGTACTTACACACAGAAAGGGAGGATCAGTTACAGTAAAGGACGTGCTTTAGTAAAGGTTTGCTGTGAATCCTCTGGGTCAATTCTCCTTAGATTTGCCCTTTTGTGATCAAAGCGGGACAAGTAAGGGATAATGTGCAGCGAGGCGGTCATTATTGAAAAAAGAACACAAGAGGATAGAGTAGGTGTAAAGGTGACTCATAGCTGACCTTCTCTCCCTCAGGAGAAACCATGCTCAGGATGTCTTTGCTGTAGATGGACTCCTGGTTGGACTCACTTCCTGCCATAGCCCCAGGAGATTGTTCGGCCAGCAAGGCAAAGTTGAGCCTTATAATGGCATCGAAACACTTTCTGAGATGGGGCTGCACCGCCTGCGGGTTTCTTGTCTGAGCCAGGATCTTTAGCAGCTCATCGTTAGATAAGAAGCAGAACCTGGGAGACAGATAGACAGAGGAATTATCAGGCTGCTTATCATCAGCAGCCACAACACTATGTTAATGACTCACCGGAGAGAGAGGTTTATCAAGCTCTCAGAGGGACACTATGTATATTGGAGACTTTCAAAAAGGACCCTATTTGGTTAGCTGGCCGGCTCTGTTGTGATTGGTTAATCGCTAGTGATATTCCGCCTATTAGCAGGTTAAATGTGTTGGATTGGTAGTCAACAGTAGTTACATAGTGATGTCATTATGTTACAGAAGAAAACAAAGGAGTCCAATGGAGGCATTTCAGGCCGGGGGGGAGTGTGTGGGGGAGAAACTCTCTGTGGAGGGTCACCCAAAAAGCATATTAGGCCCGTTTTAGTAAAAAAAAAAAAAATTAGAAAAATGCTGGGGAAAATTGTTATTATTATTTTTCTTTTTTTGGAAAAATTAAGTGACTGAACCCCAGTACATGGGCTTCAAGCTCTACCAAGCAAGCCACCCAAAGGCCCAATATTTCCGTAGCTAGATTTGATTGGATTTACTTTATTGACTTCAATTTTAACCATTTCACAACATTAGGATTAAATAAATAAATCTAAACTAATCAAATCTAACATCGCAAAGTGAAAGGATATCGTTTGTTTAAAAAACATGATAATAATTAACACCATAGATGCCACTAGCCCTGCACTAGTCTGCACTGGATGACTCGCACATTCATGACTTTAAGATGTCATACAATATACTGTATATTTGTTTCTATTAAATCCACCATTTTATTCTCAGATAATAATACCCTTCAACACCGCCTTTGTTTTTTACATTTCTTTCTGTAACCTACAATGGACCTGAAATGCTGCTGTAGAAAAAATAAATAAGGCAAAGTATAATAGAAAATGTTATCCTTTACTTTTGTATATAATATGTAAAAAGCCAAGTGTGCGTATACCTGGGGAAAATGACTCTCTTGGACTCCAGGTAATCTTCCAGACACTTCTGTATCTCATCCAAAAGTTTGTTGTTGTGCTGGAAGGTCTCCAGCAGGTCTGTGTAAGATAAAACAAGAGCCTGAGTGGAGCAAAGGTAACCGATTCCTTAACAGTGACATCATTAAAGACATAATCAGATAACTGGTATATTAAAACAATTATTATGATTTTTTATCAGGACTACAATATAAAAACGATGTATTACAAAGCACATGTGCACACATCTCAACATATCACAAGTCTCAAATCTAATCTTCATCATGATGACCTCAAGTTCACATTTTTTTTAACAGGTTGGAAATGTCGCCCTCTTTCTTAATCTCTCAGTGCGGCATCTATGGAATAAAGAATGTGCAGGGGATGACATGAGCCTTCTGTAGGTATGTAACACACGACATTAAAGGCAAAAGAAAACAGGAAATAATTATAAGGCATCTTTAAATCTTTGTAAGATGAATCTGGAAAAAGGCAGCTATTGGCTAGATTGTATTCCTACATAGTACTTGTGTTTATTTGCAGTGAATTTCATACGGAGGCTATCCAAAAGTAATCAGGTTTCTTTTTTGATACTTATATTAGATTTACAACCTTTTCCAGGTCATTTGTAAATGTAATATATTTCAGAGATACAGGGTCCCACGATATAATGAGGTTCATATAAAGCACTCAAAGTCAAATCCCTGGTCAAATGTATGTTAAGGGTCTTTCTCTCCATCACAGCTACCTACCAGGCTGCGTGGCTGCTTTCATGGCATTGGGAAACGTATTGACTTTTGCCATGATCGCCTTCCAGGACTTGTCCACCTTGAGAAACATCTTGGACTCGGCAGGCAGCTGCCTCTTGATGTCCGGGGCCAGGAAGATACTCTCCAGGTAAAGCCAGTTCCTTTGACACGTGAGCCACTCATCCTGGCAAAGGAAGGGGACATAGAGGATGGGGAGGAGAAATAAATGATGCAATACTGTCTGTCTTTCCTGCCTCACTGCCTCAATAAACACTAATAAGCAGGATGTATTAGGACAGTTCTTCATGGCAGTCACTAGGGGGAGCTAATGTGTTAGATTTGAGGCCAAATCCAAAGTCAAAAAAATGCTTTTAAGTAGAGAAGACTTTGTTATAGAAGTGTGGCTTTTCTTCATTTGTAATCGACAGACATGCTTCAGGGTTGAGTTGGATCATTTGAGAGTTAATGAATTAATCCTTTTGTTAGTGATGAAGTGATAGCAGGACAGTTGAAAACAAGGTTCACATATACAGATAGGAGGAGTGACTCTTATGTTCTGAGCCTTTACCAGTGTTTGGTTGAAGAGGGTCAGCTGTCTCAGCAGTTTGTCCACCCGGGGCTTTATGGGAGCCACGTAGCGAGAAGACGCCACCGTGCCCACGTTGATAATGCCGTCATCCAGGAGCACCTTCAAAGCATACAAACACAATAAGATGCACTGATAAAGGATATTAGGATGTTACCAGCTTGTGTACAACAGCTTTTTTTCATCATTGTAGGTAAAAAAAAAGAAATAGAGAGCCGGCAGAGGGGAGTTATATTCCAAGAAGAAACTCAGACACCAAGATGACTTTTGCATTCTAAAGAGATTAATAGCAAATAGATTACAGTTAATTAACTAGAAAGAAAAAACTCAAGTACATTTAACAAACAAGTCTGATCGTTACAAATATTGGGCAAAAAACTTGGAAAACTAGGACATTTTATGTCAATTTGTGATCAATTACCGATTGAAACTGAAAATATCCATGTTTTTTTCTAGTAAATTAACAACTTTTATCTATGAATATTCCCCCTCCCCTTTTTCTTTACTTGAAATGGCCCTAACCGGCTAACACACTGTCATGAAGACATCTTTTTGAAGTTCAAATACAAAAAATATCAGCACAGGGTTACGGATTTATGAGAGTATATTTTGAGAAGCTCATCATATCATAAGAATCATGTATCCATCTGTTGGATACATCGGTACCACTTTACAATAAGACTACCCTTATAAAGGATTTATAATTAGGTCATTAATTAGGTTGTAAATACTTTATTAATCATTAAGAACCGTTTATAAACCAGTTCTATACACAGGCTCACTATTTGGCAAGATGACTAAGCCTTTTATTGGCTACTTAGCGAGAATCAACTCAGTGAACAAGAGATACCAAGGATGCTGGCTGATGAAGAAGACGAAGTAAGCTAGGTAGCCAATATAAGGCTGAGCAGTACAGATAAATGTGGGCTCACTATTTGACAAGCAACCGGTCACAGTCGCCCTGTTTATCTCATGTCTTCACAAGTGTTCACAACCTAATTAATGAATTACAAACAATTGGTAAACCCTTTAAGGGTAGTCTTATTGTACAGTGGTACCGATATATCTAAGACGTTATTGTTAATCCGTTCTTTTACTCTTATCGTCTTTTTTTTTGTTTTTCTTTTGATTTATAGATGATCATTAAGTTATTTAATGTATATTAGTTTTGACTGTATCTCACTTCTTTATAATGTAACCAAAAAGAAGAGGAAAAGAAAAAAGATAAGCTCATAATGAAGCCTGGCTTGTAATGAGGATGCCAAAAAGGGAACTGTATTTCCTAAAAGTTACATAAAGAAAATAAGTAATGAGACTATTGGTACATTTTTGAACAATGGGGATGATGAGCAGAACCTTACGGGCCTAAAAACACCATGTGGAACACACTACTAGTATGATCAAGTACAGTATGTTTGAGAGTGTGTGAGGTGCATGGTACCACCTGGATGTCATCAGTGCCTCCCAGGATGAAGACGTCTTTGGAGTCACTGTGAGACAGCACAGTGAACTCTGCCGTCCTCCACATGTCCTCCACCTGCACGGCTCATTGAGAGGGCAGAGGTTAAAGTTTAAAGTATCACATCTGGAGCTGCAACTATTAGGTCTAGTTTCAAACGGATCCATACACCCTCTCACTCTTTGCCAGAGTTAGCTCCTTCTGTGGTCAAACTGAAAGCCTGGGAGGCGCTTAGCTTAAATTAGCATAACGAAGGCAAGCTAGCGGCTAGCCTGGCTGCAGAGTGGAAAGAAATCCCCTATCCAAACCATTACAACTCATAACATATAATGAACATATTGTATCTTGTTGGCTGATTTATGTTCCCCCTATGTTATGTCTTTGTGCTAAGGTAAGAGACAGACCCCGACTGTAGCTTCATTTTTAACAGAAACATTTAACTGAAATACTTGAAATGCTAAGTCATCAAGATGCTAAGTTATCAAGACATCAATATGTGATTAAAATCAACTTATATTGGACATACAGGAAGGAAGAGTACACTTCAATTGCAGTTTCTTCATTAGATAAAGAAAGAAAGAAATGATCTGAATACCTGTTCATAGAGTAGATCTATTTCCACGCACCTTTGTAATAATGGTCTCCACTGATGCCTCTCCTGAAGCCTGTCCAGAGACCTAGAAGATCAAATCAAAGATATTGAGTTTAACCAGCATATGTGAGTCTGACTTTGAAATACATGGTTCATAAGGCCATTGTAGGTAAACAAAATGTTTAATGAAAAATAAAAGAATACAATTACGGAGCCAGGGGAGGGGGAGATAAATTCATACATTTTTAGGAAAAAATATGAGACTGAAGTTACCGTGAAAACACTAGTTGTCAAGTTATGATTTCGTTTTTCGGAAATGTTTAAGATTTGTAATTAAAGACTTCAATCTTCAATTTTTTCATTGACTTGGGATCCCAGAAGTTTTTACATGTTAACTCATCCCCGGGTTGAGGACTCATTCCTGCACCACTCTACATTGGCCAAAGGTATATGTCACCTCCTGTATCTCCGTGCCATACGAGAAGACGTTGAGCGTCTCCAAAGCAGCCACCGTCAGCTCCTCCCCGCTCAGGGCGGTCCCCGCGACCGACTCCAGCGTCCTCCAGTGCTCTGCTTTCATACACGGGTTACGCAGGTCAGTGATCAAAGGCAGCTGAAGGGGGAAAACATAGATAAGGTTTTGATACAGTCACAAAGCTGTAGAACCAACCATGCAATTCTAAAAATCTAAATATGCATCAAATCTAATGTTTGAATATCTAATATGTACATGTAATTATAGACTCCTGCATTTACTTGTTCACTTACAACATTCTCTGCAACATTTAGTTTATTGTATTTGTTTGATTTTTTACATTGATATGTTTAACTTGTATCATTTAAATTGGTCACATTTTACTGTTTCTTTTTGCGCTATTTTACTGTTTTCTAAATGTCTTTCTAATGTTTTATGTGTTATATATATTCATGTTTCATTGATGGAGGAGCATGGGCCTTGAACTTTTCACTCTCATATTTAAACTGTAGCTACTTTGCATATGATAAAGCCTTTGAATCCTTTGAATCTTTGAATGTATGTATAGTTAAGGGTTAGGGTCAGCTAGGAATTAGCTAATAAACTACGGCAATTATTGATTTTGATCATCTCTGACACACACATCAGTCACTACAGGACACTTTGTCCCACTCACCCTCTGCTTCATGAACTCCACCTTGTCCTTGAGACTTGGCACTACGTTGTTGCGTGGCAGACCCTTCTCCAGCTGGTTGACATATTTGCTGTATTTAGTGACCTGCGAGCTGAACTGATCCAGGTCCAGTTGCTCCAGTGTGCTCTGGGAAAGGAAGAACATGGAAGGACACTTTGAAGAGAAGAAGAGTGTACATGTTGCCACAGGCATTCACGGACAAAATGTTAAGTACGCCTCACCTGCCTCCACCCTTCTGACAGAGAGTCCCATTCCTCCATAGAGTCCCACAGCAGCTTTGTCAGCCTGAACTCTGCAGTTAGCTCCTCCAAGGCGTCAAACTTGGTGACCTCCACCTTTTTTCATCAGAAGGAGAAGTGGTTATAAAATGAGATGTTCTGCTTTGGTTGCAGCTCTACAAAGCAATATCAAATTGTAATGACTTTACTTTACAAACCGTAGTGGAATACAGAAGGAGACAGTACCTTGAATTTTTTCTGGTAGGAGATGTAGGCGGAGGCCTTGGCCTGCAGCTCGTCTATGGAAATCTGAACCCCCCCCAGCAGCAGACGCACTTGCGAGGGGTCTGAATTGATGTCAAGGTTTTGAGGATTCTACAAAAAAAATTAAGCAAGGAAACATAGAGAGCACGATTATTTTGAGAAACTAGAAAGAAAAAAAGGAGAGAAATAGTGTCCTAAACGGGAACTAAATTAAAAACTATATATATATATATATAATTCAGGAAAATATTAATCTTGAAAATTATATAAACAGAATTAAGAGAAATTAGTTTAAAAAAAATTGAGATTAAAACCGAAATAAGATAAGTTATATAATATATAGTTAACAGAAACAAAAATAAAAAAATATATTTATTACTTAGAAAAATCTAAACAATCTAATTTCTTATAATATGAATAGTGCTAAAATTAAGTCACATTATTTAGGTTTCATTTTCAAAATTAAAAACAAAAATAAACTATGAAAATATTGGCCCAAACAGAAACTAAATAAAAAAGACTATGCTTCAGTTCAATCTTAGACAAAAACATGATTTTTCGGGAAATTAGGATAAATTAAATAAATGTAATTCCTCCATGTGGTAGCGTGCTAGTGAAAGAGTACTCAAGTTTATTCACAAATCAAAACATGTAATCACTATGGCCTTAATAGCGTTTAAATTAGGGCTGTCAGTCGATTCAAATATTTAATCGCGATGAATCGCATGATTGTCCATAGTTAATCGCGATTAATCGCAAATTAATCGCACATTTTTGATCTGTTTTAAATGTACCTTAGAGGAAGTTTTTAATACTCTTATCAACATATGAGTGGACAATTAAACACAACAACCTCTGAACATCACAAATATTCGCCTCAATTCAACCTGGAACCTCTATCATGCAATAATACAATACAAATGGTGTGTGTGTGTGTGTGTGTGTGTGTGTGTGTGTGTGTGTGTGTGTGTGTGTGTGTGTGTGTGTGTGTGTGTGTGTGTGTGTGTGTGTGTGTGTGTGTGTGTCTGTAGTGTGTGTAGTGTGTAGTGTGTAGTGTAGTGTGTGTA